CTTTCTGATTGAGAGGGGGTCAAATACTTATTTCCCTCATTAAAATGCTAATCAATTTATAACATTTTATACATGCGTTTTTCTGGATTTTGTTGTTGTTATTCTGTCTCTCACTGTTCAAATAAACCTACCATTAAAATTATAGACTGATCATTTCTTTGTCAGTGGGCAAACATACAAAATCAGCAGGGGATCAAATACTTTTTTCCCTCACTGTAAGTGCTTTTTTAGCCTGTTCATCTACTGCCTCGTTCCCCTCCACCCCCACATGGGCTGGGACACAAGTAAATCTTATCTGTATACCCATCTGTTTAATCCTGCCATGGGTTTGTAGCACCTCATAAAGCAGGTCTTGTCTGCTACGTGAGCTAAAGGACTGGAGACTCGTTAACACTGCACATGAATCAAAGCAAATAACTACTCTGTCTTGTTTGACTTCCTCCACCCTCTGCAAGGCCAACAGTATGGCCATCAGCTCCACCGTATATACAGCCAGATGATCTGTAATACAGTTGGGAAAAAAAGTATTTAGTCAGCCACCAATTGTGCAAGTTCTCCCACTTAAAAAGATGAGAGAGGCCTGTAATTTTCATCATAGGTACACGTCAACTATGACAGACAAAATGAGAAAACAAATCCAGAAAATCACATTGTAGGATTTTTTATGAATTTATTTGCAAACTATGGTGGAAAATAAGTCTTTGGTCAATAACAAAAGTTTCTCAATACTTTGTTATATACCCTTTGTTGGCAATGACACAGGTCAAACGTTTTCTGTAAGTCTTCACAAGGTTTTCACACACTGTTGCTGGTATTTTGGCCCATTCCTCCATGCAGATCACCTCTAGAGCAGTGATGTTTTGGGGCTGTCGCTGGCCAACACGGACTTTCAACTCCCTCCAAAGATTTTCTATGGGGTTGAGATCTGGAGACTGGCTAGGCCACTCCAGGACCTTGAAATGCTTCTTACGAAGCCACTCCTTCGTTGCCCGGGTGGTGTGTTTAGGATCATTGTCATGCTGAAAGACCCAGCCACGTTTCATCTTCAATGCCCTTGCTGATGGAAGGAGGTTTTCACTCAAAATCTCACGATACATGGCCCCATTCATTCTTTCCTTTACACGGATCGGTCGTCCTGGTCCCTTTGCAGAAAAAAAGCCCCAAAGCATGATGTTTCCACCCCCATGCTTCACAGTAGGTATGGTGTTCTTTGGATGCAACTCAGCATTCTTTGTCCTCCAAACACGACGAGTTGAGTTTTTACCAAAAAGTTTTATTTTGGTTTCATCTGACCATATGACATTCTCCCAATCCTCTTCTGGATCATCCAAATGCACTCTAGCAAACTTCAGACGGGCCTGGACATGTACTGGCACTGCAGGATTTGAGTCCCTGGCGGCGTAGTGTGTAACTGATGGTAGGCTTTGTTACTTTGGTCCCAGCTCTCTGCAGGTCCATTCACTAGGTCCCCCTGTGTGGTTCTGGGATTTTTGTTCACCGTTCTTGTGATCATTTTGACCCCACGGGGTGAGATCTTGCGTGGAGCCCCAGATCGAGGGAGATTATCAGTGGTCTTGTATGTCTTCCATGTCCTAATAATTGCTCCCACAGTTGATTTCTTCAAACCAAGCTGCTTACCTATTGCAGATTCAGTCTTCCCAGCCTGGTGCAGGTCTACAATTTTGTTTCTGGTGTCCTTTGACAGCTCTTTGGTCTTGGCCATATTGGAGTTTGGAGTGTGACTGTTTGAGGTTGTGGACAGGTGTCTTTTATACTGATAACAAGTTCAAACAGGTGACATTAATACAGGTAACGAGTGGAGGACAGAGGAGCCTCTTAAAGAAGAAGTTACAGGTCTGTGAGAGCCAGAAATCTTGCTTGTTTGTAGGTGACCAAATACTTATTTTCCACCATAATTTGCAAATAAATTCATTAAAAATCCTACAATGTGATTTTCTGGAAAAATAATTCTCAATTTGTCTGTCATAGTTGACGTGTACCTATGATGAAAATTACAGGCCTCTCTCATCTTTTTAAGTGGGAGAACTTGCACAATTGGTGGCTGACTAAATACTTTTTTTCCCCACTGTACGTTTCCTGACTTCCACCCCACATTCCTGCACTACAAATTCTGACCCAGTACGTCCTGTCCTTGGATCTTTTGAACCATCTCTGTAAATGGCCACAAAATCCTGATACACAGTATCTAGACTTCTCTTTAAAAAATCAAATGGATCAACACCCTCCCTATCTTTATGTAGTCTCTTCAACACTTCTAGATCAACTACTGGAGGTAGGAGTAGCCATGGTGTATTTACAGGAATAACTACTGTTGGACTAAACGTCCTTCCATACAGTCCCAGCTCCTTCGCCTGGGTATTACCCAGCCCACCCAAAGCTCGTGTTCGGTCTTCGCTCATGTTCCCAGCATGCCTGTAAAATCCCTTTCGCAGGATGAGACACCCCATGTCCTTGTAGGTTGACCCAATAATTAATTGCCAGCTGCTGTCTTCTAATCTGCAATGGCATATCCCCCATCTCCACCTGTAATGCAGCCACTGGGGACGTCCGAAACGGCACACTACATATTCTGAGTGCTTGCCCCTGTATGACATCTAGCCTTTCCAGTGAAGTCCGGGTCTGCCGAACCATATGCTATACTGCCATAATCTATGCAACATACATGGTCTTCAATGAGGAACGCCCACTCCTTCCCTTTCAGACAGCACATCACATTTAGCAACTCCTTACACTTTCCCACCACTCTCTCAATGTGTTCTGCCCAGGTCAGTCTAGTGTTAAAGTATACCCCAAGGAACCTGAAGGCCCCCACCCTCTCCAAGTTTCTCCCATATAACCTCAAGCATCCCTCATCTCCCACCTTCCTCCTGGTAAAGAACACTGTTTGAGTTTTCTCTACAGAGAACCTGAATCCCCACATTAATGCCCACCGCTCTACCTCATTAATTGCTTCCTGTACCTTCCTGACTCTGTATGGCACATTTCTTCCCCTCTTCCATAAGGCCCCATCATCTGCAAATAACGACCTCCCTATATCCGGCTGTACCTGAGAGTAAACATAATTGATCATGATTGAGAACAACAGAGGACTAATCACTCTCCCCTGTGGTGTACCGATAGCCACCAAGTAGCTGCCTGATAAAGACTTCCCCACCCTCATCTGGATAGACCTTCCAAATAGGAAATCCTTTATCCAGTTGTACGTTCTTCCTCCTACCCCCATAATATCAAGCTTGATTAACAACCCCTCCTTCCACATCATATCATACGCTTTCTCCATATCAAAAAAGACAGCTACAACAGTCTCCTTGTTCACCTGAGCCTTCCTGACCTCTGCTTCTAAGCAGAGCACTGGATCCATAGTTCCCCTACCCTTCCTGAACCCACTCTGATGTGGCGATACTAGCCCTCTGCTCTCCAGGAAGTAAGTTAGCCTCTCCGTAATCATACGTTCCATAATCTTACATACATGTGATGTTAAAGCTATTGGCCGATAGCTTGTTGGTTCATTCCCGGGCTTCCGGATTGGTACCACTACTGCCTCCTTCCAACTGCCTGGTAGTTTCCCCTCCTCCCACACTCTGTTGTACAACACCAATACCTTATCCAGTGCCTCATCACTAAGATGGGCCAACATAACATAGCACACCTCATCTTTCCAAGGTGACATTAACCCAGCCTTACCTATTGCTCTTTTCACCTCTGCCATGGTAAATGTTTTACATTTTTAGTCATTTAGCAGACGCTCTTGACTTACAGTTAGTGAGTGCATACATTTTTCATACTGGCCCCCCGTGGGGATCGAACCCACATCCCTGGCGTTGTAAGTGCCATGCTCTACCAACTGAGCTACAGGAGGGCATTTAATGCATCATTTACATCCTCCCTCCTATCCAGCACTCCAGGATGCTCCTCTCTCGTCTTCTCTCTCCCCCACTGCCCCTCCTCTGACAGATTTGCGGAGCTATGCACAAATGCTTTGGCCATCATCTCTGCTTTCTCCTCATCTGTTACTGCCACATCCTCCCCACTCATCAACACTGGATAATCCCACTCTCTTCTGACCCCACTCATCCTCTTAATCATCCCCCACACTTCTCGCCTTTCCAATGGTGTCACAGAACTGATGCCAACATGACCTCTTTGCCTGACGGATAGTTCTCCTCACCATGGCCTGCTTATACTGAATCAGATGTTGAAAGTTATGCATCCTTTTCAGTACTCTAAATGCCCTGTTCCTACTGCTCACCATTGCCCCACATTCCTCCATGGGACTGCTTTCCTCCTCCTCGAACTCTTAGGTATAGCCTCAGTAGCTGCCTCCACTAACGCTGTTCTCACCCAGTTAGTCATACTAGCCACATCCCCTCTCATATCCACCCGAGCCATCACCTGCTCACTCAGCTCCTGAAACTGATCCCACTTTGCCCTTCCAAACACCCACCTGCCTACTCCATCCACTGACACCTCCTCCTCCCTCAGGCCTACTGTGGGGTAATGATCACTCCCTACTGTCGACTCCTCCCATACCTCCCACTCACATATTCCTGCCATCGCACTAGATAGAGGTCCAAGGCAGAATCTTTCCCTGTGGCTACATCAATCCTGGTCCCTCTGCCATCATTCAGGTGTTAAAATCCCTACACATTACATTTTAGTCATTTAGCAGACGCTTTTATCCAGAGCGACTTACAGTTAGTGAGTGCATGCATTTTTCATACTGGCCCCCCATGGGAATCGAACCCACAACCCTGGCGTTGCAAGCGCCATGTTCTACCATCTGAGCAACAGGAGGCTACACCACATTAACTTACTTCTTTCCTGGCCCTCCACCCTCTCCAGCACTTCCATGTCCAATATCTGACACGGATTATAGTAGTTAGCTATTACTGATTAAACTTTGAAGGCAAGAAAAACTATTTCAATGTCGTAAAAATGATCACGAGACTGAACGAATTCCGACACTTCCGGTTGCTGTCATCCAACATGATTTACGGTAATCTCAGTAAACCCAAAAGTGTCAACGACAGATTGGTGAGTTGCTTGAACAGAGTAATCCACTTTAACAAGGAATGAAATCTCACAACTGCTAGACACAAGCAACAAATGAGCAACAATTGCACTCAATGGACGTATTGCCACGATGTGAGAAACAAATGCAAAGTATCGCCTAATTTGCATCGCAACAATGCTAGTTTGCAACCGCCATAGCTATATATATATTGTAGGTTGTTACAGTCAGTAGCTTGTTTTGTTATCGTAAGCCTGTTAACTTGTTAGATTTGACAGCAAGCAAGGTTTGACATGGAATGTATGTTGCTCTTAGTCGGATAGCAACATAGCTAGTCATACCAATCTTTTGAGTACCAGTTTACTAGCTAGCTAACTAGCTAGTAAAGAGCTAGCTACCAGTTTAGCTAATTTACCTTGTGCATTGCGAACGTTAGCTAGCTAACGTTAGTTGTCAACAGGAAATACAACACTTCCCACAAAATTAGCGAAATACCTTAAGCGGTCATCTAGTTAGTCTGTTAACGTTGCTTTTGGTCAGATTAGAATGGATAACCAACTTTGACCGTTTGTGTCATTATCTAACGTAAGCAAGATAGCTCATTAACACAAGTTGCAAACTTGAGTTAAAGTGACTCTTAAGGGTAAATTCAAAATGTGGCTCCAGCAAAGACTAAAGGGCCTACCAGGTGTGCTGTCAAGCAGCTGGGCTAGAAGAATGCTCATTGGACTGCTGGTTTTCCTCATATTCTACTGGTACCTTAGCTCAGATGGTGCTTTGAGGTTGTTTAGTGGCTCAGGCCAATCAGGGGGGCCGGCCGGACAATGCCTCCAGACTGAGATCCACAGGTGGAAGTCACTGGTGGACAGGGGGGAGGGAATTTACAGCACTCCCCAGGAGAAAGCGGTCACGCCTTTTGTCTCAGGTAACGGCCATTTCCTGGTGGACATTGACTCCAACAGACTGTGGGTGGCCTCGTCCTCCCAGCCCGGGTCGGCCCCTGTCCACCAGACTGAGTATTCGCCCATAGTGGGTGTCCACGTCCCTGGGAAGCGGGCCGAGGCGCGGGCCACCATGCTGTGGTTCCGCAAAGGGGCCGTCCTGTCCGTCCACTGTGTCCTCCCGGGGGGCACCAGCAGCTCCGTGTCAGCCCGTGACTGCCTCACCGTCCGAGAGGAGTTCATCGCCCACCGCAGCCGGCCCAATGTCTACCTCCAGAGGATCCATGTCAACAACCCCTCGGAGCGGGCCGCCACCCTGGAGGTTTCCACTGAACCACCCTCGTTCGGGAGCAAGTTCTCAGCCAGTGTGGAGAAAGTGGAGGACAAAGAGGTGGTGCTGTCGTCGGGCCGCGTGGTTCTGCCGGAGAAGAACCAGATAGTGCTGGTGGTGGTGGCCACCAAGAAACTGGGCAGCCGCATCCAGGTGGCGGCCAAGTCGGAGTACACAGACAGTGTGCTGTCGGTGGTGTGGACGTCGGAGCCCATTGAGTCGACCAAGTTGCAGGAGACCTTCACTAGGCTTAGAGAGGGGGCCAAGAAAGAGCTGGGCGAGCTGCTGAGGGCTAATGTAGAAGATCTGGTCCAGGACCACCAACAGGCCTGGATGGACCTCTTCATTTCTGGTATGTGAAAGTCAAGGCTGAGATGCCATGTCTTTTCTCTTTACAGTGCAAATACTGTGGGAGTTAGTATGTGAGAGTTTTCTCGTAGACTGTGCAGGACAAAACAATTAATGGATGGGGTAGTTCCATTTGATTTCAATCACTTTTTGACCGCACCCCTTTTGATTTTAACAAAATGTTCCATACATATTTGCCTATGATAGAAGTGGTCAGAAAGTGATCTTTTAGACCTGAATGCCAAAACATTTAGTAGATAGAGGTGCTCAAAGTTCACCCATTTTGCATACCCCACCCTACCATGAGACATGTCTTCATCACTGGAAAAGATAAACGGTTTAATTTGATATAATTTAAAAGCTTACAAATAGGGTTGTCAAACAGGCTTTTAAATAAAAATTGTCATTTTTGTATTCTTTAACGTCAATTATCAAAAAATACGTAAACTTCTTTTTCAAGTATGTTGTAGCTTAGACCCTATTTTACACCATCTAAGGTGTTTGTGTTGTGTCCCGCCATCAGTTGGGAAGCAGCTTACGGGCACGCTTCATATACAGCAGCATCGTACGCTGAAACATCAGAAGCCATTCACTTTCATTGGAAGGAAAGCAAGAGAGAAGCGGACTGGGCGGGGGGAACCGTTGAGCAATGCAAGCATGGGCGAGGGAGCTGAACAGGGTGGGACTAAAGTTGGGGATAGATTAACTTTATGCAGATCCTCCGTGATATCGTGGCGCTAGTGACCAGTCGAAGCTCACCATGGCTTCCAGACCCTACTGGATTGGCTGACAATGGCTGTTGATACCTAGCACTACCGAGCTTGCTTGCTTGCTAGCACCCACATGAGGGTGAAGCTAACGTGGCTAGGCGAGTTTCGCTTGTATAGTTAAAACACACTGATACTCTTGAATACAGGGTGGGTGTCAATTTAATCATAGATGGACATATCCCTTCAGACCACTGTATTTTAGCTGGTACATCATTAACATTTCAAAGATTGCCGCCGGTCCACCCACCTTCGAATGTTATCTATATTTTCTATGATTTCAGTAGGTTTCCAGTGGAAGATTGACAGTATAATTTAAAACTGATATTCCATTTCAAGTCAACATTCTCTGATGTGTGGACCTCCAACCAACCATCTTTGGGCTACCATTTGAAAGTTGAAATTTCAAATGTATTCCCATTTTAGTACATTAATCAGCCAAAACATGACACCCACCCTGTATTCAAGAGCATGCTGTTTCTCAACCGACGGCGGGCACAGCACAAACACGTCAGATAATGTAAAATAGTCTAAGCTACAACATATATATTTTTAACAGTGTGTTTTTAGATCATTTACGTTAAAGAAAAAAAAAAGACATTTTTATTCAACTATTTTTTCAAGAAATTATTATACTTTGGCAGTCCTGTTTGTAAGCTTGTAAATTATATCAAACTCAACCTTTCATATTTTCCAGTGATGAAGACATGGATGCTTTATGGTAGGGTGTGGTATGCAAAATGGGTCAACTTTGAGCACATCTATCCCCTAAATGTTTTGGCATTCAGGTCCAAACAGTTACTCTCTGACCAGTTCTAACATGGGCAAATATGTATCAAATGTTTTGTTCAAATCAAAAGGGGTGCGGTCAAAAAGAGATTGCAATCAAATGGAACGACCCGAATGATATTAACACAGCCCAGTATTTACAAAATATACTAGCATTCAATCTGATCATGATGAATAACTAAGCTAATGAATTATGTAGTTCGAGTTCAAATGACTATGTAGACCTTTTCTGTTCCCACATCTACTGTGTGTGTCTCCTGCAGGGGTGGAGATGCGTAAGATCACTGACGCGCACACGCCGTCCAGCGCCACGGTCAACACCACGCTCTACTACGTCCTCTCGGCCTCGCCGGCGCCCCTGCTGGACCGCCGTCTGGGCGCTGAAGAGCGCGCCCGTCTGGAATCCAGCCTCAACTACGCCGACCACTGCTTTAGTGGGCATGCCACCATGCATGCCGAGAACCTGTGGCCGGAGCGGGTCAGCAGTGTGGCCCAAGTCCTGCAGCTGGTCACCCTGTGGACCCTCACCCTGCAGAAGAGGGGCTGCAAGGTGCTTGTGGCGGCGGGTGCCCATGGCGTCATGCAGGGTGCCGTGCTCAGCTTCGGAGGCCTCTCCTTCAACGAAAACCACCTGCAGTTCCAGGCGGACCCGGACGTGCTGCACAACAGCTATGCGCTGCGTGGCATCCACTACAACCAGGACCTGATCAACCTGGCTGTGCTGCTGGACGCCGAGGGCAAGCCCTTCCTGCATGTGTCAGTCAAGCCCCAGGAGAAGCCCGTAGCACTGTACGCCTGCGAGGCGGGCTGCCTCAACGAGCCGGTGGAGCTGACGTCGTCAATGGTGGAGGCCAAGGGCCACGTGTTCCCGGTGATGGTGACGCAGCCCATCACACCACTGCTCTACATATCCACAGACCTGCGCCACCTGCAGGACCTGCGGCACACACTGCACCTCAAAGCCATCCTGGCACACGAGGAGCACATGGCCAAGCAGGACCCAGGCCTGCCCTTCCTCTTCTGGTTCGGCGTGGCATCGCTTATCACCCTCTTCCACCTCTTCCTCTTCAAGCTCATCTACAACGAGTACTGCGGCCCCAGCGCCAAGCCCCTCTTCAGGAGCAAGGTATAATAACACAAACACAACAAACTGCTTTGAACTGATGAACAAAAAAAACTGTCCAAATTGTCCTCTTCTCACTTAGTTTTTTGGGTGTGGTGGTGAATTCCCTTTCACTTTCATTCCTCTTCGGGTGTCTTTCTCTGTCTCAGCGGGGACATAGTTTGGATGTGTGGAATGTTGTTTGGATAATTGCTGTGCACAGCCTCAACCTTTTTACTGCTCTCTTCCGTACAAACAAGAAATGATTTGGTGATTTCTCATTTTCTATGTGTGAAAGGAATCAGTTTGAGAAGACATTTGATGACAAATGCTCTAATCGGAAAGTAAGGCACAATTTATTTTGTAATGGGTAGCATATTAGGAATATATTCTAACATGAGCCATGTCAATTTAATATGAAAACTTCTGTGTCATTGAACGCACCAGTATTAGTCCTCATTTAAAATGGTGGACCACAAAATCCCAGTTCTGTTACTGAACATTTCACTACATGCAGTAATGCAAGTTGTTTTAATCCATCGATTTCAGAAGCCTTACATATATTTACAAATGTAGCCTATAGCATTTCCCATCTGTGTGAAAGAAAACAAATAGTTTTTTCCCCCAACCATAAGCCTCTTGTGTAGCTAATGTATGTTGTTTAAGCTCAGTTCACCCTCCGTTTAATCCCTTTACTGGTGCCTTGAAGTCTCCTCTCAATCAACAATGGTGCAAATGTGGGTTTCCAATCTTTTCAGTTCTGTTCGCTTCTATAGTAGCCTAGCTACTACCACCTCGATTTGATACACAGCATACTAATTTGGAGAGGTTTAAAGTATACTGAACGAAAATATAAACAGAACATGTAAACTGTTGGTCCCATGTTTCATGAGCTAAAATAAAAGATCCCAGTTCAATACTCACAAAAAGCTTATTTCTCTCAAATGTTGTGCACAAACTTGTTTACATCCCTGTTAGTGAGCATTTCTTCTTTGCCAAGATAATCCATCCACCTAACAGATGTGGCATATCAAGAAGCTGATTAAACAGCATGATCATTACACAGGTGCACCTTGTGCTGGGGACAATAAAAGGCCACTCTAAAATGTGGCCTTGTATTGTCACACAACACAATGCCACAGACCTCTCGAGTTTTGAGGGAGCATGCAATTGGCATGCTGACTGCAGGAATGTCCAACAGAGTTGTTGCCAGAGAATTTAATGTTAATTTCTCTACCATAAGCCACCTCCAAAGTCGTTTTAGAGAATTTGGCAGTAAGTCCAACCGGTCTCACAACCGCAGACCACGTGTAACCACGCCAGCCCAGGACCTCCACATCCGGCTTCTTCACCTTGAGGGGAAAAACTCATTCTGATTGGCAGGTCCTGGTTCCCCAGTGGGTGGGCCTGGCTCCCAAGTGGGTGGGCCTATGCCCTCCCAGGCCCACCCATGGCTGCGCTGTTGCCCAGTCATGTGAAATCCATAAATTAGGGCCTAATTTATTTATTTGAATTGACTGATTTCCTTTTATGAACTGTAACTCAGTAAAATCTGAGCACAAATAGGCTAGGCTATGTCTCAAAATTAGAAAGAAAATGCCCAAGTGCCCATCAGGCATTTAGCCAAAGAGAGACACCAAAACTGGAACTGGAACACAAACAGGTCCAACGAGGTGGTACTAACTAGTCTGGGAATTATCCAAAATCTTCTTGATGCCTGTCTCCAATCATGTACAAATACCCATCTATCTACAGCATTGGTTGCAAAATTAGATGTCTGTGTTTTGAAATAATGGGCACTACGAAGGAGGAACATTTCTACAGTAAGTGGTTGTCTTTGATTAGCTTTGACTGAGTGCTGGCGAGTAATCCCTTTCGCCATGTGGCATCGTTTTGATTTGGCTGTGTTTTTTGGGTGGTGTTTTCTATTGAATCACTCTGATTTAAATTAAGAAATGAAATTGACAGTAGGACTTGGTTCTCTCTGATATCCAATTTAACAACAAGCTTGCTGTTACTTATACCTATGTGTGGATAGGCATTTGGCCTATCCCCAACCGACTCCTAGCTCCTATGCTCTTGTGGAGATCTTGATGACGGCCTAAGCAATGTTGCAGTAGCTCCACATTGCTTTCTGATAGGCCAGGTGGAATTGCTGTCATATTTCTTACGCCTTTCCAATCCTCTCAGATCTCCACATTTGCCCAGGGGGTAGAAGCTCTGGTAGAAGCCCTGGTTTAAACGAGCTCTAGGTTCGATTTGGGATTGGGGCGTCTGCCAGTAGGAGCTTGCTTCAGTAAACAGCGTTGCATTTCCTGTTTCCTCTTCCTGTTTGTAACCCTCCCCTTTAACCTCACCAGGTGACGAAGCCAAGTGAGGAAATGGAAGCTTAGGAAGCAGCCATGACATCACTGGTGCAGAGTAGCAGCCAGCGATGGCAGCATGAGACAAATTACATTGCCATAAAGTGTGTTACTGTACATGTCATTATTTGTCAATGATTTGTGTTGAGATGGTCAATCATGTTTATTTAACTTTCGACATGTTGGAGCTGAATTCAGAGAAACAAGCTCACCTCACCTGATGACCTCTTTCATTGGCAAGGCTAACGAAAGTTTCACTGTTTACAATGCTTCCATTCGTTTTGGCGGGGTGACCCCTCGGTTTGAACGAAGAATAGGGATTCTATTTATATGGTTCTAGTCATAGCTTTGTTTTGTTTCTACCATATAGAATTCTGAAAAATGTGAGTTATCCCTTCACCTTTTTTTCAAGATGGTGGAATCCTAACCCAAGCTACACACATGTATTTTACCCTGCGTTTATAACCAAGTGGGAAGGTGGTATTTACCACATATGACTAGGGAAAATCCACTTAAACGCCCCTCCAACTGGTAATTACTAGAGGAAAACTCGTTTATCATCCCTGAGCTCTGACTTCTCCCACATGCTGACCTCTGACGTCACCTACTAAGGAAATGACCTCGATAACATATTTTTTTTCGGCAATTTAATGCAACAAAACATTATTTATAAAAAGGAATCTATTAATATGGGTTTTGAACACAATATCATTTGATGGCATGATAGCTGTACTTTTAGTTTATGGTTGACGCAGCTTGTTGGCCATTAGCCAATCTGTGTTTGTCAACGAGTTCAATGCATGTGAATACATACAACTGGTATTTACGACTTCACAAGTGGTTATGAACGCAGCATTAAGATAGGATTAGGCCCTAAGAAATCATCTCCATTAAAAATGGATTGAGATGAAAACATTGACATTTAAATGAGTCCTGGTTCTTTTAGTTGGTTTACTTAAATGGGTTTTGTAGCCTGTAGGTTTCCAGTTTCCACTGCCACTTCACACTGTTCAATCTGTCACATTAAACCAATATAATTACATTTGGACATTCTTGCAGTAATGTTTCTACTTCATATAGGCTACTCTTAATGGTAACAACATTTAAATGTGTGGTTGCAGCATGTTATGCTAATCAATCCACCACGATTGAGTGAATTTATGCACATTAACTTAATGTTTAAATACTCCACAATTACTAGATAAACTGAGTTTCTACAAATCTGATTTATTGTGAAGTGTGACTTAATTGTTTTCTAGATTGTTAATATTATAATTTTTGCATTTATTGTTCATCTTTGTTCATAGCATTTTTAAGGGCTTTTTTTGAATCTGTTATTGTGTTTGTAACGAACTACTGAGTGTGCCTTAACAAGTTTAATTTATTCTGATTACACCTACAATTTGGTTGGATTGTATTTGAATATTGTATGATAATGTGATTTGGGAGAAAATAAAAATGTATGTGGATAAGAGCGTCTGCTAAATGACTAAAATGTATGTGTATGTTCTTGTAAGTTGATTTAAATTAGGATGAAATAGAAATGTATACATAAAGACTTTGAATTAAGATGTAAATATGTTAAACAATTTATCTGACAGTATACATTAATTTAACTCGTTTGTGAATTGAAAGTGAAATCTATTATGTTCTATTTGTAATCAAAGTTATTAGGTTCTATGCATGTGTGAAGCTGTTTTAATTATGGTTTTAATTACATTGGTTGAATTGCCAAAGGATGGTATATAGCTTTTAAACTAGATGTTGTTTTTCACAAAGTTGAATGTCCTTTGCGTTTTCTCAACCCTCCAAAAATAAAATAATATCAAGGATGTTCAAAACCCATAAAAGGTATAATTAGTCATGCAAAAGGCGGTTTAAATGCATGACAATAAGTATTTCTCTGATTTTTATTTTATTATGGCGCAGACACTGAATTAGGCAATTAACTGCAATACTAGCTATAATTTCCCTTAGTCCCTTGTTCCATTATTCGGCATACTATAATTTCCCCTTATTTCCCTTTTAATTTAAGCATTCAAGAATAGCATATACTCAAGGGTGGATGCAGCTGTCATTGAGACCCATATACAGCAAAAGCAATTACACACTATTCATTGAAGGTGCAATATGCATTAATCTCTCCTCCATTTCCTGGTTGCTACAGTTCTAATAGTTTGCTTAATTTCAGTTTATGTGACAAAACAAGCATGTATAGTGTAGAGAATCATTGTACTATCTACACCGCTGTGAAATATATTTTCCATAACCAAAAATATTGAATATTCAGCTGTTTGAAGCTGGTGTACAAAACCGAAAGGAAAAGATGCAAAAACTAAACTTAAGCACGGGAAGCATAGAAATATTGCACATAGAACACTTACACTTGCTTTCAATGAGAATGACAGATCTATAACTCACATTTCTATGTGAATTTGGTTGGGTTGCCCAACAAGTTACATATTGCAGCTTTAATTCCCCAGTTCATGGAAACACATATTTTCAACTAATTTAGGAGATTTTCTGATAAAGGAAAATATCTCCATTTTATTCGTGAAACACAAATGATTCAATAAGCATGAAACTCAATAGGAGTCCATAGATTTGTGTGCTGATAAGATGATGCCCAGCAGTAGCCTACTTGTTACCTCAAAATAATCTATGTTGGAACGAAATATATTTAGTGTAAAAACACAGGATATTTTAACTATCTTAATATGATGGGCAATTGTTGATTAGCCCGTTTTGTCAATATGAAAATGTAATATTTCAAAGAGAAGCAAGATAAATTGAGTTAGAATATAATGTATAACTTTTTTCTGTTGAAAAGCCTTGGGTGAAATGAGGTGAGAGATTTGATTGGCATGTATTCCTCCATTTGCAGAAATTAAACCACACAATTATCCAACCCACGTCACTAGTTGCATCCTATTTATAAGCCTCCTATCTGATATCTGGAACAAGCGATATTCCGGAGCCAAATGACAGACATTTTTGTAATAATCGGTCACATAATGTCCGTCTTCTATTCTCTTTAAATGACATCATACAAATGTAGGCCTACATCATAATAACTTTGATATCTGCGTTTTACTTTAGAACGACAAGTCCATGTCATCTTTGGAGTACATGAAAAAGGAATGCTTCGCATCCCAGACTCTGTCCTCGGCTTCTCTGAAAGGAACATTTACCAAAATTCAGAACAGCAGACATAAAAAGAGAGTCGCACCAAAGACTCAAGAGGAGACCGACATCGACTGCGATATTTGCAGGTAATTGTGAGTATTGTTTTGTTAAATGTTAATAGCCTACAAACCTACAACACCTTGGTTTGCGTGTAGGCCTAGCTAAAGGGCTTATTTTTTTGCAAAAATCATGATATCAACATTATATCCTATAAACAAATGCAATTAGTTTTCCTTTTTTTTCCACATTAAGCTTTCACAGAACAATAGAACAAACGTGTACCAATGTATTCACACAGGCTTACCCGGATTCACTGTTGTCTTAGCTTTTATCCTCTGTCTAGTTCACTTCCCTGGTTAGTCTGTCATGTTTAGTGTACTATTATATACTGGCTTATTTTCATGTGATTTTATTGCTTTTTATCCTGCAGATTTTCTTGTGAATGTAAAGTGACTTTGGGTGTTGTGAAAAGCGCTTAAAATGAAAAAATTGTTATTAAACATAAACATTTAGATCCTACATGTATCTATTAATTCACCAATAAACAACAGCCTTGATTCCAAGGTTTTTAAATGATAATTGCATTATCATTTAATAATCATATTGAATATTTACAATCAATCTATTGCATTTTTAAAACAATGTAATCATAGATCCTTATCTAGGTAACTTTTTTCCGTATCATTATTATTATTTTTTTTGCAGTTGATCTCTCCGTGTCTCAGCAATAACCGCACTGTTTGTTGCATATTGACTGCTTGTCTGCTCTCGTTTCTGGCTCTGCTTGGCTCAGTCTCCGTTGACCTCAGCTCCAACTTGGACCTGCTGCGCGCCACAGAGGCCGCTTTCGAGGAGCTGACTTCATGTAGGACTATGGCTATTCTCCAACTCATAGATGAACTCCAAAACACGAGAAGTCTATGCAAATGGTACAGGAGTAACGAGACACGCCAAGAAAAGTGTGTGGTATTTTACCTGTGATTATTAGACTTTGCACTGATATGGAGGGCCACAGAAACAGTCAGGGTCACCCATGCAGCGCGGAGTTGGTGGGGTTCTGCCAGAATCTTAGGGAAGATTTCACAAAATTTCTGAACACAACATGGGGAGCTGAGGACAACAACAACAAGCCTGTGTTCTCCTTGACGATTGTCAGACTCCTGGACATTTGGGGGGACATAGAACAGGACATTAGTCAAGTCAAGCAGTTTTCAGACTGGAAAGATGTCCTCTCACTGAGACTGATAGTCACATTCCTGGAACTCAATCACCAGTTAAGTGAACTCCCTTCCATAGGAACCCAAGCTGACTTTCACGAGAAGTGGATCCACGCACTCAGCCGCCTAGCCTTTGCCCAGCTCTTGTTAGAAACACTGCAGGACTGTTGGGTGGAAAACATTCACCTAAAGCTCAACCTGACCAACAGCCTCAAAGTCGACGCGTACGTCTTCGACTCTGCACCTTGGCAGATTCCAGCGTCTGACATGGTGGGCACAATGGCCATCCTCACAGGCTCTCAGACAGGCTTCCAGGCCCTGAGGGACGCCCAGGCGTGCCTGCTGGCCAGAGCGGTGCCAGCTCTGAAGCTCCGATCCAGGGCCGTGTTCTTGTTGCTCAGCATGCGGATCGCTCTGTTGACATTGGCCTGCCTGATCTATCCACTGGTGCTGATGTCCTTCAAGCAGATGACGGCGTGGATTCAGAATTATGCGCGCAGCCTGCGAGAGAGGACCGAGGACCTGAAGCGCCAGAGACAGCTGGCCGAGGACCTCCTGCACCAGATGCTGCCCAAGTCGGTGGCCAAGCAGCTGAGGCAGCAGAAGTATGTGGAGGCAGAGAGCTACGAGAAGGTGGGTTTGATTGATCTGAGGAGATGTGGGGCTTCAGTTCCATCATGACGATCAATTCCATTTCGTGCTGTTCCATCAAGTGAATTCCTGTGTCATCATTACCCAATTGTCATACTTGGGTAAAAGTAAAGATACCTTCATAGAAAATGACTCAAGTAAAAGTGAAAGTCACCCATTAAAATACTACTTGAGTAAAAGTCTAAAAGTATTTGGTTGAAAATATACTTAAGTAGCAAAAGTAAATGTAATTAATCAAATATACTTAAGTACCAAAGTAAAAGTATAAATGATTTCAAATTCCATTGTATTGTTTATTTATTAATTTTTTACGGATAGCCAGGGGCACACTACAACACTCAGACATAATTTACAAATGAAGTATGTTTGTTTAGTGAGTCCGTCAGATCAGAGGCAGTAGGGATGACCAGGGATGTTCTCTTGATAAGTGAGCGAATTGGACCATTCAAAATGTAATGAGTGCTTTTGGGTGTCAGGGAAAATGTATGGAGTAAAAATTACATTATTTTCTTTAGGAATGTAGTGAAGTAAAAGTTGTCAAAAAATAAAAATAGTAAAGAAAAGATACCCCAAAAAACAACTTAAGTAGTACTTCAAGTATTTTTACTAAAGTACTTTACACCACTGCTATCAAGAACCCATGTTTTCTTAGAGGGTATGGCACCTTCTAACAACAACTTTAAATTGAAAGAAACTCCTCCATTTCTATAACCAACTTAAATAGACCCGTTCTCTCTCCCCCAACCTCTCCCTCTTATCACTTTTACCATTTAAACAAATTACTGTGAGGGCCTTGTAATGTTAAGGGACTCTGTTGGTGAAATAGGTTGGCAAGATCACCAAACCAACGTGCTGAATGAACCCCTGCATTGGGTTCTTTGCTGTTATTGTTGTCATAATAAAACATTATTTGATATATTGTAAAGTGGTTGTCCCACTGGCTATCATAAGGTGAATGCACCAATTTGTAAGTCGCTCTGGATAAGAGCGTCTGCTAAATGACGAAAATGTAAATGTAAATGTAATAATTACCTGTAATTATGGTGTTCCATATTCATTAGGAGATCAAACAGGTTACACGGGTGAAAATTGCATCCAGCTCATTGAGTGGCTTGAAGCAGCTGGGCCAAAAGCACTTTGCTCAGGGCTATTGGCTACCAAAGGGGATGTGGTCCGTTTTGACACATGCTTCTATGGCTGCATTCACACAGGCAGCACAATTCTGATCTTTTTTCAACTAATTGGTCTTTTGACCAATCACATCAGATCTTTCGCATTATATATTTTTCAGATCTGATTTGTCAAAATACCAATTAGTGAAGAAAATATCAGAATTGGGTTGCCTGTCTAAATGCAGCCTTTGCATTGTAACATTCTGAAAATGGAACACAATATAATTTTGTATTTATTTATTTCACCTTTATTTAACCAGGTAAGCCAGTTGAGAACAAGTTCTCATTTACAACTGCGACCTGGCCAAGATAAAGCAAAGCAGTGCGATAAAAACAACAACACAGAGTTACATATGGGGTAAAACAAAACATAAAGTCAAAAATACAACATAAAATATATATACAGTGTGTGCAAATGTAGCAAGTTATGGAGGTAAGGCAATAAATAGGCCATAGTGCAAAATAATTACAATTAGTATTAACACTGGAATGATAGATGTGCAAGAGATGATGTGCAAATAGAGATACTGGGGTGCAAATGAGCAAAATAAATAACAATATGGGGATGAGGTAGTTGGGTGGGCTAATTTCATATGGGCTGTGTACAGGTGCAGTGATCGGTAAGGTGCTCTGACAACTGATGCTTAAAGTTAGTGAGGGAGATAAGAGTCTCCAGCTTCAGAGATTTTTGCAATTTGTTCCAGTCATGGGCAGCAGAGAACTGGAAGGAATGGCAGCCAATGGAGGTGTTGGCTTTGGGGATGACCAGTGAGATATACCTGCTGGAGCGCATACTACAGGTGGGTGTTGCTATGGTGACCAATGAGCTAAGATAAGGCAGGGATTTGCCTAGCAGTGATTTATAGATGGCCTGGAGCCAGTGGGTTTGGCGACGAATATGTAGTGAGGACCAGCCAACAAGAGCGTACAGGTCACAGTGGTGGGTAGTATATGGGGCTTTGGTGACAAAACGGATGGCACTGTGATAGACTACATCCAATTTGCTGAGTAGAGTGTTGGAGGCTATTCCTTGACATCGCCGAAGTCAAGGATCGGAAAGATAGTCAGTTTTACGAGGGCATGTTTGGCAGCATGAGTGAAGGAGGCTTTGTTGCAAAATAGGAAGCCGATTCTAGATTTAACTTTGGATTGGAGATGCTTAATGTGAGTCTGGAAGGAGAGTTTACAGTCTAACCAGACACCTAGGTATTTGTAGTTGTCCACATACTCTAGGTCAGACCCGTCGAGAGTAGTGATTCTAGTCGGGTGGGCGGGTGCCAGCAGCGTTCGATTGAAGACCATGCATTTAGTTTTACTAGTGTTTAATAGCAGTTGGAGGCTACTGAAGGAGTGTTGTATGGCATTGAAGCTCGTTTGGAGGTTTGTTAACACAGTGTCCAATGAAGGGCCAGATGTATACAAAATGGTGTCGTCTGCGTAGAGGTGGATCTGAGAGTCACCAGCAGCAAGAGCGACATCATTGATATACACGGAGAAAAGAGTCGGCCCAAGAATTGAACCCTGTGGCGCCCCTATAGAGACTGCCATAGGTCCAGACAACAGGCCCTCCGATTTGACACATTGAACTCTATCTGAGAAGTAGTTGGTGAACCAGGCGAGGCAGTCATTTGAGAAACCAAGGCTATTAGTCTGCCAATAAGAATGTGGTGGTTGACAGAGTCGAAAGCCTTAGCCAGGTCGATGAAGACGGTTGCACAGTACTGTCTATTTTCGATCGCGGTTATAATATCGATTAGTACCTTGAGCGTGGCTGAGGTGCACCCATGACCAGCTCGGAAACCGGATTGCATAGCGGAGAAGGTACGGTGGGATTCGAAATGGTTGGTGATCTGTTTGTTAACTTGGCTTTCAAAAACATTCGAAAGGCAGGGCAGGATGGATATAGGTCTGTAACAGTTTGGATCTAGAGTGTCACCCCCTTTGAAGAGGGGGATGACCGTGGCAGCTTTCCAATCTCTGGGGATCTCAGAATTTACGAAAGAGAGGTTGAACAGGCTAGTAATAGGGGTTGCGACAATTTCGGCGGCTAGTTTTAGAAAGAAAGGGTCCAGATTGTCTAGCCCAGATGATTTGTAGGGGTCCAGATTTTGCAGCTCTTTCAGAACATCAGCTGTCTGAATTTGTGTGAAGGAGAAGCGGGGGGGGGGGGGGCAAGTTGCAGCAGAGGGTGCAGAGCTGGTGGCTGGGGTAGTGGTAGCCAGGTGGAAAGCATGGCCAGCCGTAGCAAAATGCTTGTTGAAATTCTTGATTATTGTAGATTTGTCGGTGGTGATAGTGTTTCCTAGCCTCAGTGCAGTGGGCAGCTGGGAAGAGGCGCTCTTATTCTCCATGGACTTTACAGTGTCCCAAAACTTTTTGGAGTTAGTGCTACAGGATGCAAATTTCTGTTTGAAAAAGCTAGCCTTTGCTTTCCTAACTGCTTGTGTATATTGGTTCCAAACTTCCCTGAAAAGTTGCATATCGCGGGGGCTATTCGATGCTAATGCAGTACGCCACAGGATGTTTTTGTGCTGGTCAAGGGCAGTCAAGTCTGAGGAGAACCAGGGGCTATATCTGTTCTTAGTTCTGTATTTTTTGAATGGGGCATGTTTATTTAAGATTGAGAGGAAATTACTTTTAAAGAACAACCAGGCATCCTCTACTGACGGAATGAGATCGATATCCATCCAGGATACCTGGGCCAGGTCAATTAGGAAGGCCTGCTCGCTAAAGTGTTTTAGGGAGCGTTTGACAGTGATGAGGGGTGGTCGTTTGACCGCGGACCCGTTACGGACGCAGGCAATAAGGCAGTGATCGCTGAGATCCTGGTTGAAGACAGCGGAGGTGTATTTAGTGGGTAAGTTAGTCAGGATGATATCTATGAGGGTGCCCATGTTTACGGATTTAGGGTTGTACCTGGTTGGTTCGTTGATCATTTGTGTGAGATTGAGGGCATCTAGTTTGGATTGTAGGATGGCCGGGGTGTTAAGCATATCCCAATTTAGGTCACCAAGCAGTACGAACTCTGAGGATAAATGGGGGGCGATCAATTCACATATGGTGTCCAGGGCACAGCTGGGGGCTGAGGGGGGTCTGTAGCAAGCGGCAACAGTGAGAGACTTATTTCTGGAAAGGTGCATTTTTAGAAGTAGAAGCTCAAACTGTTTGGGCACAGACCTGGATAGTATGATAGAGCTCTGCAGGCTATCTCTACAGTAGATTGCAACTCCACCCCCGTTTGGCAGTTCTATCTAGACGGAACATTTTGTAGTTGGGGATGGACATTTCAGAATTTTTGGTGGCCTTCCTAAGCCAGGATTCAGACACTGCTAGAACATCAGGGTTGGCGGAGTGTGCTAACGCAGTGAATAACTCAAACTTAGGAAGGAGGCTTCTGATGTTAATGTGCAGAAAACCAAGGCTTTTACGGTTACAGAAGTCAACAAATGATAGCTCCTGGGGAGTAGGAGTGATACTGGGGGCTGCAGGGCCTGGGTTAGCCTCTACATCACCAGAGGAACAGAGGAGGACTAGAATAAGGATACGGCTAAAGGCTTTAAGAACTGGTCTTCTAGTGCGTTGTGTGAAGTTGCGTCAATTCAAATCTGGTATAGGAACAAAAAGAGGTCAATACACGTCTTCTAAAATAGACTAGTATTTTAATTTATGCAAACACTTGAATGGTAAATATGATGTTCGTATATACGGGCCCACTGAAAAACCACGCAGGGCAGTCAGAGAACTGAGCTTTTGTTCTAAGTTCTTCTTTAAATACTCTGACAGAGATAGTTCCCACTCCCTGCTGGGCCT